TTTGCCATTATTTTGTTGAGGATTTTTGCGTCAGTGTTCATTAAGGAGATTGGCCTATAGTTCTCCTTTTTGGAGGTGTCTTTGCCTGGTTTTGGGATAAGTGTAATACTGACTTCATAAAATGTGTTAGGCAGTTTTCCTTCCCTTTCTATTTCGTGGAACAGTTTAAGGAGGGTTGGTATCAGTTCTTCTTTAAAGGTCTGATAGAATTCAGCAGAGAATCCATCAGGTCCTGGACTTTTCTTTTTGGGGAGACTCTTGATTGCTGCTTCAATTTCATTTTGTGTTATAGATCTATTCAGTAAACTGGTGTCTTTTATTATCTTTCCTTCTGGCCAAAGGATTTTATTTATCATTTTGTTTACAAGTGTGCTAGTGTTTAATATGTTAGCTTTTGTATGTCTCAGGGCCTATTTTTCTTTCATTTTTAAAATATAATTTCACTGGGTATTGAATTCTAGATTTGTAGTGTTTGTCTTTTCTTTTCTCCAATATTTTAAAGATGTTCCTTCACTGTCTTCTTGCTTACATTATTTCCAACATGAAATCTGCATCATTCTTATCTTTATTCATTTGGAGGCAATATGTTTTTATTGTTGTACCTGTTTTGTCTGTTTTGAAGGTTTTGTTTTTGCCACTGTTGTTAAGCAATTGATGATGATATGCCTTGGTACAGTTTTCTTTGTGCTTCTTGTTCTTGAGTTTGCTGAGATTTATGGTCTTCACTGGATATGGAAAAATGTCAGCCATTATTTCTTCACATTTTATCATCAGTGCCTCTATTCGACACATTCAGTCTCTCTTTCTCCTTCTTGACCTTACTGAAAATCGGTTTAACAATTACTCCTTGTCTACTAATTCCATTACCTATGTCATTTTTGGTCTTTTTCCTTTTGGTGGATTTTTATTCTTATCACAGGTCACATTTTCCTGTTTCTTTGCATGCTTGGTAATTTTTTATTGGATTGTTGGCTTTGGAAATTTGACTTTCTTGGGTGTTGGATATTTTTGTATTCATATAAATATTCTTGAGCTTTATTCAGTGATATAGTTAAATTACCTAAAGATACTTAAATCTTTTTGTAGCTTTCATTTAAGCTTTGTTAGGTGGGATTGGAGCAGGGTTTTTTTAGGACTAGTATTTCTTCAGTAGTACTACTGCGCCGTCATCCTTATGAGTACTCTTTCTGTTCTATGAGTTATAAGATTTTTCTACTCTGACTAGTTGAGCACAAACTATTCCTGTCCTGCGTGAACACCAGGGATTATTTTCTCTAATTATTTTAGGTTGGTTTTTCCTTTGGTATTGAGTAGTTTTCTTACCTGTGTGCACTGGTCAGGTGAAGTTTCAAGGGGAACGCTTTGAGGATCTATGGTATTCTCTCTGTGTGCAGCTGTCTCCTCTCCTCTCTACGTGCAGCTCTCTCCTTTCCAGTTTGCCCTGCAAACGCTCCCTTGGCCTCCCTGGACCCCAGCTATGTCTCAGCTCCCTGGGCCCCACCTGGGTCTCTCCTCCCAGTGCTTACTGCTACCTGGACCCTCTCTAGGCAGTGAGCCAGGGCAATTGAAGAACTTACCTTGTTTGTTTCCTCTCCCTCGAAGATCTCTTTCCTGCATTGCCTAGTGCTCAGTATCTGGAAAATGTTGTTTCAGATAGTTTGCCTTCATGTTTAGTTGCTCCAGGGAGGAGAACAAGTCTAGTTATTTCATCTTGGCTGAAAGAGAGTCTCACCACCCAGTTTAATTTTGAAGGCTGACACAATAGGGATAAGATGAATGCAGTCTAACCAAACAGGAAGTTTTCCATTTATTCTATAGCATGAAGATAAGAGGAAAGATTCTACTTTATTTTAGCAAAAAGATAACCTATTTTTAATATCCTCCAATTTTCTGGGTATTTGTGGATAAGGAAAAAACCAACCAACTTTATTATAATATTACAGAGCCCACAATTAATTACATCTAATTCTTTCAGCTTTGTAGAAGCCACTTGCAAAAGGAAAATAAAATGAATGTTATTTAATGAGCCAAGTTAGCATTCCTGAAATAGAATGACTACTGGGTCATATAATGCTGTCTGTATTGATGAGCTTTAATGGGGTGCCTTCAGTCATGTGATTATAAATCACAAACCAGAAGGTCTCCTGCAAATATATTTTACAATTATATGGTCACCTATCCCATCAATGGAGAAAGAAAAATGCCCTTTTAGAACCAACATCACTATTTCCTTTGCTTGCTTATATAGCCCCCAGCCCCAGTGATAGCACTGGGAAAGGTGTCTACTCAGTGCTCCCACATCTCTACTCTGCCCAGCGCCTCAGGATTCTTAGTAAGAGATTAGTTCAGATAGTTCCTAAATATCAAGAGGCATACAGGCCACTTCCATATGAAATAAAAGTCAGCAAAAGTCCGTGTACATTAGGCTCACCCAGGCTTGCCTTTTGCTGTGTTTGCCTGCAGAAGATGTCATTTTCTGATATTTTGAATTTTAGTCCAGTTACATCTTCTGGTACACACCACATTCCAAATTGCAACACAATATTTACGTTGAAGATAGATTATTAGCTGACTGCAATATAGACACTATGTTTCAGAATGTTGGTCTGGCCAAGTAGCTGGAGTGGTACAGTTCCTACCTACCAAGCATGATGCCCTGAGTTCCACAAAAAAAAAGTTGAGGAGTAAACATCAGTGGAAGTCAAATTATGTACATCAAAAGAATGTTAAAATTATATACATCAACGGAATGTTGAAAGTGGAACAGCAGCCAGCTTTAGCCTTGGAAACAAAAACAGGCAGAAATACATTTCATCACTTCACCAGACTTTTAAAATTATTTGTATTAGTGTATATTAATTGTACAGAGGGGTTTCATTGTTATATTTCCATACATGTATATAATGTACTTTGATCATTCACCCCCTGTTACTTTTTCTTATCTCCCCTCCCTCCCTTTCAAATAATTTTAATGGATTTCATTATTCTGTTTTCATACATGCATATACAGAACCTCAATCATACTCATCTCCCATTACCCTCTCCTTTCCCACCCCATCCCAATGTTCCTCCCATTTTAGACTCATGCCATTTTTTTAGGTTTCAATTCCACATAATGAGAGATAATGCAAAATTTATGTTTCTCAGTCCACCAAGTTTATTTTTAAGGAAATGTTTTAATGCATTCAGGGAGACCAGAAGTCTGTGGTTATGGCTAACTATGAACTCTGAGGTCATTTATTCACTCTCCCCACCCTAACAGGCTCTACTCCTGATTCTCTGGTTTGGTTCATTGCATCAGCGACCTCCTGTTTGCTCAGCTTCTTTGACATTTTTCTTATCTGGAATAGCAAACTCATCCTCAGGACATCACAGGTGCCTCTACAGGCCCAATCCCTCTCCATGCCCAGAAACTGTGCTTGCTCTTAACTTGACCATCAAGTAGTCTCTACACAGGGCCCTACTCTTGTCTTTCTTCATCCTAAGGAACTTTCTGGATCAGAGTCCTGCTGATAACGAAGTACACCTCCCAGGAAGGGGCATACTAGGATCATTTGTGGACTGATGACCAGTGGCCTGGTCTCTGCTTTTCTAAACTCTTTTGCTATGATCCTCTCCTAAGAATCTCACCCTTGGCACTACATGAATCTCTCCTGCCCCTCTTCTCTCTGCACACTCCCACCTTGGAGCTATGTTCATGCTTTTACTTTGTCTCCTGTAGTTTGTTGTATTAGTTTGCTGGGGCCACCACAGCAAGTGTCTCAAATGAGTGCTTTAAACAACAGAAGCTGTTTCTCTCACAGTTCTGGAGGCCAGAGGGCTAAGAGCAAAGTTCTTTCTGAGGGCAGTGATAGGCAACCTGTTCATTCCTCTCTCTCAGTCAGTCCTTGGCTCGTAGGTCTGTCTTCATCGTCACATGATATTCTGTCTTTGTGTCCAAACTCCCCTCTTTATGAGGATGCCAGCAATATTGGATTAGGGGAGTACCACTCTGCTCCACCATGACCCACCTTAGCTAACTACATCTTCAATAATTCTATTTCCAAATAAGGTCACATTCTGAGGCATTACAACAGAGATTTTGTCGAGACACAATTCCATTCCTAACAAGTCTGCTCCTCTGTTGGAGTGGAGGATTGGAAGGAACATGGAGTGAAATGATATGATATATATGAGAATATTAAAGTGTTGAAAAGCACTGACATAAACTAGCATTTTCAAACTTATCCCTGCCCTGACCTCATTTAAATTTCACCAAACTAGGAAGTGTTACATTCTATCCCCGATTTCTGGATTTACAAGGCCATTAATATTTACTTATATTCTAAAGGACTGAAATGTGACCAAGAAACTAGAGCAGAGAGAGGGGAGCTGCTACTGGAGGCACTTGGGCTGGGGCTTCCTGTGACCACCAATGAAGGGCCATATCAGAGGGACAGCAGAGACACAAATCATCTCAGCGGGACTTGATGTTTGTCAGTGTGGATACCACACTCTACAAATACCTGGCTCCATTTTGATGTATTTCTCCTTCCAAATTATAGCCAGGCAATTCCAGGGACTATCTTTTGCTATCACTGAAGCTCACTGCCTAGTTACATTCTCTTAATGACTATAGGTAAATAGAGTTGCTATTTCACTCAGAGACTTGGTTCTACAGAACTCATGGAGGAAATGCTATTTCAAAAAAAGAGGATTTAATTAAATAAATACACATTTAATTTCCCATGTTTAGTAGCTTTCAAGAGACAATCAGTCATTTGCTCTTAAAGTGTGTGTTTCAGGCACTCATGGGGTGGTTATTAACCTCCAAATGCCACCGTCTCAGTGGGGTTTGACTTGAGAAAGGCATTTTGCTGATAATGGGTAACTACACAGCAGGCCTGCATCCTCTTGTGATGTTAAGGAGATTCAACATGGTCTGTGTTCCCTTGCAGTAATGGAAAATTATGTGGAGAATGGAAAACAATATTAATGAGACTCTGTCTTTCTCCATACAGCTGATACCTATGTGGTTGCCAATGATTCAGTCAAATCTCAAGGTAAGTCAACCCTTGTGCTGGCTGGAAGCTTAGTTTTCTCTAGAGAACATCAAAACTTTCATAGGGATTATTGACACTGCACTTACTATGGAGAAGGAGGAATTCCACCTGCTCCCGGTCTTAGAGGGGTGATTGATTATACAGGAGACCTGGGGGCCAGGTGAGGGGCCTACAGGCAGAGTGCAACGTCAAGAGCCTTGTCCCCACTGCTCACTGTTGATGAGGGTGCAGGGATTGAGGGTAGTCCCTGGGTCTGAGTGCAGTTACAATACAGGGCCAAAAGCTACCCTATTTTTGGAGAAATACCCACGGGGACTGATCCCAGGCACATCTAATGATGTTTCCTGACCACTTAAGATTGATTTTCTGGGATGGGAAGAATTCTACTAAGAAAGATGACATTGAATGAATGACAGAATTGAGCTAGAAGAAACCTACCCCCTTTGTTTTACATATGAAAAAATTTAGAACAAAAGGAAGAGTGACTCATACAGGGTCCCATAGCCTGGAAGGGAAAGACCCTGACTAAATGTATTTCCCAATCCCAGGCCTCACCTTAGTGACATTTTATCGCTGTAGGGGCAAACATACTTCATGAGTAGCAAACATAGTTATTTGAGGCTTAACATTAACATTCAATCTGGGATAGAAGGTAAAATTTCCTAATTAGTTATTGATGTTTAACATTAAGATAGCAAAGCCAAACACTGCTCCATCTGGGGCACTGGGAGTACAGGGGGTGTGGGGTAGAGAATGGAAGTTCTCTTCCTGGACTTCTTCTCTGAGTTGGGGAGAGATGCTAGTGGAAGGAAGATGGTCTGGAGTCATTATACCTATATACCAAGAGAGAGCAAGGCAGCTGACTATAGAGCCACAGCCTTTGCGTCCTGACTGGCATCAGGGCTATCTATGGCCACCGGCAGGATGGGCATAGGCACCGTTGAGAACCTCATCTGTGAAAGTGAGTTGCTTGTACTCCCATCTGTAAGCATTCCAAATTGCTTGTCCCATGGTTTCTCTGCTTTGTGGCAATCTGTGTCAGTTTTATATTGCACAAAGTGCTGAGAAGAGGACAAGAGAACTTGATGAGAAGCTAGGAGAAAGAAGAAAGGCTTTCGACCTAGCTTCTTCATGTCAACGACATAAGGACAGAGAGACTATAATAATACTAAAATGTAATGCGCACTCACTATGTGCCAAGTTCTCCTCTAAACATTGTATTAACTCACTTGTCCTGCAACCACCCCCAAAGTAAGTGTAATTGCCCCCATTCTACCCGTGAGAACACCCTGACACAGATTGATAAACCTTGTTCCCAGAGTTGCCCATAGAGGAACCATGATTTGATCCTGGGCACGTAACCAGTACACCAAGCTGAATATGAATAGTTGCTGGGGACAAGTATATGTGTTAGTTAGCCCAGATACTGCATGTCAGTTTCACATTCCAATTGCAATGAATCAATCAAGATGGGCACATAGTTATTTGGGTGGAATTGGGCTAGGGTGTCTCTAGAAACATAGGATGAGCCCATGTCCCCTGCCTTGAGCACTGCCGGATTTGAAGATTTGCTGTCTTCAGTCCAGAACACTCTTGAGCCAGGCCTAAGTTCTGCCTGCTGACAAGCTCACATTGCCTTTCCCTGGGCTGCCCTGTGCACTAGGAGGAAGCAACTAAACGGTCTGCCCTTTCTTAACAGCACTTATCTGCGGGCCTTCAGCTTCGCCTCCAGGCTATTCAGAACAACGTGAACCACCACCGCCTAAGGACGCTGCCCGGCTCGGGCCAGAGCAGTGCTGGCCTGGCGGCCCTCCGCAAGTGGCTGCGGTGCACCCAGTTCAAAATGGCCCAGGTGGAAATCCAGTCCTCGGAAGCAGCCTCTCAATTTTATCCTCTATGAGTGGACTCCTTGGCTCTCAGTGTCAACACTCTGGTTTAGCAATAATGGGTTTAAAAACAAACAATTTGATCCAAGCAAGTTGGGGAACATATTGGTACTGTACATTCTCTTTCTAGTTTAGTAAAAGACGTGCGAAGGCCGGAGAGGGCCACAAATGAAGCTTTCTTGCTACACATATTTCTGATGACTCCTTGGGCTATCTGATTAAGTGTTTCCTTACATTATTTTTTAAAAACCAAATCATTTTTCTTTAACTAACTTCTATTTTTTTTAAAGAAAAAAAAATAGACTGGTGGGTACTCACAGAAAAGTTGTATAAGTCCCCCTGTTGCTATTTTTGATGATAGAGAATAAATAGGGTTTTTGAAACCTTTGTAGTGTTTTTTCTTAAAATCCACTCTTGGCAATGCAATAAAAAAAAGTCACCATAAGCCAGTGACACCTGACTGAAGCTTTTTGTCATTATCCTGGGAAAAGTGGCAGCTTGCAAAGGAACATTACAAAGTGCACTTAGAAATTAGGTGGTTAAACTGTGCCAATTGTTTTCTTTGTTTTCTAGTATTATTTTCCAAAGGTGTCCAGTAAGTTTTATTATTTTTAAAACTAGTTTTTCAACTCATTGGTTGTAGGCTGTACTTTCTTGTAAGCTTTATGATAACCACTTTAGTTTTGTGAATAATAAATTTTATTCTTTTGTTAATACTTGTATACAATTCAATTTAAATTGTAGATCGCATACTGGACCAGGCAAGTCCTGCGTTGGCACAGAGCACTGCACCTGGAGTTATGTTTCATAAAACAGAATTTTAATAGCATAAGAGCACCGAGACTTATCCATACTTATCCCTAGCATTTGACTGTGCATTCCGAATGAAATTTCTCTTCTTTATCCCTGTAATGCACTGACTAAAAGAAGACTTACTACACATTTAAGCTGTATATTGACATGCTATTAAATGCATTTTTTTATTATCTTTGTGAGCCTGGGGTTTTTTAAAATCAGTTTGTAGAGCTAGAGTTTAGTTCCTGACAACCATTTCTTAACTTTTACAACTCCTAACTTCTCTTAAGACTGCAGTTAGTAAGAGGAAGAGGCTCTCTTTCAGGGCATTTGGTGAAGAAAATACAAAATTTAGCTGAAGTCCATTGTCTCGGAAGCACTTTGAGGGCATGAAATAATTCATTTTCTTTTTTTTTTTAATGTTGGTTAGGAGAGCCTTCCCTTTTCTCCTGGGAGGTCTGATATGTTCATGCTTGCCAGGGGAAAACGAGTCCTCAGATGTGTAAGTGCTTCCCATGAATTCTAGAAAGGGTGGCAGATCTTCGTCCTTGTGAAAATCTGTGGAACCTATTGGGCCCTGTATAATAAAAATGCAGAAGTGTGTTACTCTTTATATCTTCCTAATACACTCTTCTGAAAGGCCTTCCTGCAGTCCTAATTCTCTTCTGCGCCAGCCATCTTTGACAGTGCTTCTGTGAATGTTGTGCCTTGTCTTACACTTACAGTAAGTTGTGCATGTATTGACCTCACTTGTAACTGGTGATGGCTTTGAGGGTGTGCAATATCGCTATCCCCAGGGTTTGGCATACAGTACAAGTTTCATTAATGTCTGTTAAATTGAATGGATTCAATGAAGCAACAGGTCTTTCTTGAGCTACTCAGTGGCTTGGTAAGGGGTGAATTGTAACATTTTCTTTTTGTGCAAGCTTTCAAAGTGGTACAGGCTGGAGAAGGAGGTCCTGGCTTCTTTCCTGATGAAGGATTTTGCTTACTTTCCTGTGCAAGCTTAGCTGTAGACCTCACTTGTGGCTATTCCTATGCCTACCCTGCTTCAGACAGCCTGAATTTTGGTGGCCTGGCCTTTTCTAGGCTCAAAATTATCCCAGCTTCTTCTCCAACCCCATCTTTGCCCAGTTCTTTAGACAGGCTTCTACCTCAACTTCTCTTTGTATTTGCACTCCACTGTAAGGGCTGGAGATGCTTTCTACTGTCTAGATCTATTTCCAGTTACCACTTGGAGACTAGGTCCCATCCAGGCAAATCTCTCTTCTTGTCCTTGAGAACTGGAACCCCTTTTCCTGCCAACCTGACCCAAATACTGTCCCTGTGGCACACTGCCACTCTGCTGACTGATAGAAACCAGAAAGTTACCCACCCTACGCTGCATTCATTAATTCTTGGTGGCCTTGTCTTTGGTTACTCTGTGTAAGTTGGGCTCAACTTCTAAATGCCTGACTTAGAAGACAGGAAGAGAGGGGATTTGCAGTAGTTGAGTTGGATTAAATAGGAAGGAAGAGGAGCTTTTCACCTAGGTTAAGGGCCAGCAAACTACAGTCCACACCCAGATGCAGCCCAGACACTACCTGTTTTTGTGGAGTTTTATTGGAAGCAACCCTACTCACTATGTACTTATTGTCTATGGCTGCTTTTGTGGTGCAGTGGTAGAGATGGAGAGTTGCAAGAGAGACTGTGGCTCAGAAAGTTAAAATATTCATCATCTGACCCTTTACAGAGAGTGTGCTGACCTCTTCCCCACTAAGAAGGGCTGAGCTGAAACCCTTTCGTGGATATATTTTCCCTACCACCTCAGGGGTTAGGAATTTCATTATTAGTGTTTCCTCATCCATAAATGGAGACAATGACACATTCTACCTCACAGGATTGTTGAAAGAAGGTAAAAAATGATAAGAGAATTAAAAAAAATGAACTTGGGGTAACAACTGGCACTGGTAAACGTTTAATAAAAGTTTTCAATTGTTATTTTTATTCTCATGTTAAAGCCTAGAGAGGGAAAGCTACTTGCCCAAGGTCACATAGCTTGTAAGGGCCAGAACCGGGGCTAGTGTCCAGGCTGTATGATCCAAGGATTATGCTCCTATACCTTCCTTGTTAACTTCTGCTGCACCACACACCAACCCCAGGTGACAGCCATAAAAGCAAGACTGGTAACGGGAATCCCAACAAAATTCTATCTAGTCCAGGTTTGGCCAGCACTAATTATTCACTTGTAGAAAGGCCAAGGAACAGACTCAGATTTCTTCCCCTCATGAAATTCAACTGGCTTCAGAGTGTGAATAGAACATTCTGAGATTCCCAAGAGCAGAATGGGCCAAAATCTCCAAATGCATAGATTCCATCCTTAGTGATTTTTCACAATGGGCATGCCTCTTACTAGTTGAGTGACCTTGCACAAGTCATTAAACCTCTCAGAACCTCTGATTTCCTTATCTGTAAAATGGAGCTATCTACTTGTCTCCCTGGGGTGTTGGAAAACTCAAACGGGCAGAGGACTATGATGGTACTGTGATGGTAAAACGGAGACTACCAGAATCCACGGACCTCAGGAAAGACTGGTGCTACCTTCTGAAGACCACACAAGGGAACAGCTCATAACTGCAGGCTTATTTGGTTTTTCTTTGAGCCAATGCCTCAGAGTCAAGACCTACAAAACCAATGGGAGTCAATATCTGGTCATTAGCCAAGAGTGTCCAGCCTCCCATTGTATGCTCTCTCTATGCAGGAGTGTTCTGCCACACATCAAGATGTTTCCATCAAATCTCTTCCCTAAGAGTCTCATCCGAGGACAAGTGATTGCAGCAACTTCGTCTCCATTGCCAAGGTACAATAGGTCAAATAGGACTGTATTGGATCCAAGGAGATGGGTGATCCACCGAGACTCTTTCATGAGCTGGGATTGAAGGGCCTCTGGCATTAATTGGACAATGCAGACACTTTATTACAACTCTTTAATAGAATTAATTTGCAAATATGTATATTGGGCAAATTGGGTGTTTTGACAATAATGGTAGGTTCTTAAAAACAATGGAGTGTGTTGAACTCAATGAAATAGTATCAGACTATGGTTATGTGAGAGGTGGTGGCTGAGGCTGACCAGTTCTTTCCACTGCAAGGAGCAAGTTGTAAGCCTTTTATGAAGGAGATTCAGGGGAAACCACAACAGCCAGCATTTTTTGAGTGTCTACTAACTAGGCCCCAAGCGCTTTGCATACGTTGTCTTACTTCCTAGTCCCCTCCCCTGTGTGAGATGGCTGTTATTATTATTCCCATTTTTGCAGGTGGGTCAGTGGAGGCCCAGCGGTTAAGTGCCTTATCCAAGGCCATGCAGCTTATGATGGTAGCGTCAGGACTGGGAAGGCCGTGAACTCCAAGTCAGAGCTTGTTCATTTTCTTCTCTTGTTTGGTTCTAGGTTCTTTGGGCTAAAATGTGCCAGGAGCATGGGGTGGAGAAATCTGAGGGCTTTTCTGAGGCAGCTCAAATTGCATTTGATATATCTGTTTGTTGATTGTCATCAATTTTGATCAAGCCAGAATCACGCCATCTGATGAAGTTTCTTCCTCTTTGGGAATTAATTTATGGATCACAACTTAAATCACACTTAGTTTCCCAATTACTAAAGTAGTTTTATGCAAAAGAATAAACTTGTGTCAGTTGAAGATTGTGGTGATGAACTCTTCCATTTGGGATCTAGTCAGAGTTCACTCAACCCTGAGAAGACTTGTCCTTAATTACTTGTAATGATAGGTGCCATATTTGAGGGCATATTACATGCTGTTACTTTCAGTCTAGTTATGGCCTTTTGTCTTCACAACAGTGGTGTGAGGTAGGCACTCCGATTACTAACCCCTTATTAGAGATAAAGACACTGATGCACAGAAATTAAATATTTGCCGAAGTCCCTCAGCAAGAGAGCAAGATTTGAATCTGAATGTGTCTGCTTTTAAAGCTCAGGTTCTACCTATTACATAAAGAGGTAGTTAAATGCTAGGTAAAATACTTTGCTACTCATCTAGCAGGCAAGGTTAACTTAGAGCCATTTAGACCTGAAGGTACAGCTGGCAACCTGATGGCTGAACCTGGCCCATAGCATCTTTTGTTTGGTAAGCTTGAAATTTTATGTTTTGCTTTCTTCTTTTTATTTGAATACTTGTGGGAGAGCATGTAGGCTCCAGCTTGATCCATTTCCTACCACTGACCTGGCCTCCAAAGCAGGAGGAACCAATCTCACAGCATCTAGGCAGAAATCCTGTGGCCTCTGGGATTTACAGGTTTACAGGTTGGTTCACCAGTTGGCCTTGCAGGCTATGGATTTGCTACCCTGGTTTCAACTGGCCTCTCCCTATGGGCCCAGGCGGGATGAGCTCTACACAGGGTCATTCAGAGCCAGCAAGCCAGCAAAGCAAGACTTGAGGCCATGCTCTCGGCCCCACTTGGCCCCACCTGCCACAGGCTGCCAAAGGCCCTGCCTCTCAACAGAACCAACATCAGCCCAGCACCACCCTGGATTATTTTTCTTAGGGGAGCTGAGGTCAGGTAGGTGGGCTAAGGTGAGCCCCTGGCACCAGCTATGCCTTGCAGGCTGCACAGGGCATTTGTGGGTCTGGTTGTTGTAGAAACAAAAGAGCTAGC